CCATGGCTCTGCAATGCATACGGAACCAGCAGAAATGCTTGGTGACAAAGCCGTGGAAGGCCCTTCTCTCTCATCTCTCATCTCTCCTGCGTGCTCCTCAGATGTAGATAATTTACAATGGCAACAATTAGAGAGCATGCTCTGTGTGGGATGAGCCTGATTCCCTTAATAGCACTGCAGGCTTATATATAGCAGGGTTCAGCCAAGGGTCCCACGTGCTCTGCAATCTACAGCCCTCGTCAGCTGCTCCACGTCCATCAGGCACCCACAGCAGAGGGCCTGGGGGTCAAGGGCAGCCCTGGGAATAGAACCGGCCTCTCTTTCACAGTCTCTAAGCCCCAGTGGCAGGAAGTTCCCGGTATGAATGCTGGGAAAAGGACAGTTCTGGAATGCATGGTAGTACATATCCAGGCTGTCTCTAGGATGTGCAGGTTGGGGGTGTGGCCCTTGAATGTGGAAGTGTTTGTTTGTAATGTATTTAATGTCTGTTTGTTTATCGATTTTGAAGGGAGGAAACAAGTGCACCGTGGCTCAACCACACAGTTGCTGGGGAGAGTGAATTGGGTCCTGGAAATGTTGATAAAAACCTGGAGATGGATGAGTGATCTTCTCAAGCAGTGTCATAGAGCAGAAAAGGCTCATTCTAGCCCTGCACTGTCCACGAAAAGTAGAGTACCATCTATATATGTCATTTTAAAAATTTTAGCAGCCACGATAAAGCAGTTAAAAATAAACAGGTGAAATGAATTTTAATAGTATATTTTATTCAATCCAGTACATCTAAAATAGTAATATTGCAACATGTAACCAGTACAAAATATTAGTGAGATATTTTACATTCTGTTACTCCTACTGAGTCTTTGAAATCTGGTGGGTGTGTATTTTAAGCTCACATCACACCTCGATTCAGAGTAGCCACATTTCAGGTGCTTGAGAGCCACATGTGGTCAGTGGCTCCCAAGTTGGACAGCACAGACTCCAGCTCTAGCTCTGTCAATTGCCAGCTCTGTTGTGTTGGACCAGTTACTTCAACTTTCTGAACCTCAGTCTCCCCTCCCCCCATGTATAAAATGGAGATCACAATCTCTCATGATAGTGAGAGGAAGTCACATGCGTAAAGCAGCTAGTGTGGTTCATGGTACATAGTAAATGCTCAGTTAATGCGAGATTCCTTCCTCTAACTGACTTCTGTGGCAACTAAACTGTAAGCTCCTTTGGGAGACTGGCTATCTAGAAGGAAACTAGTGCCGACCCTCTCTCCCCCTTCCTTCCGCTGACATCATCTCCCCCCAGGCATTTGCCCCACTCACTCCTTCACGTCCTTCAGGTCTCTGCTGAAAAAGCTCTTAATCAGAGAAGCTTTTCCTGAACAGCTTGCGTGTAAAGGCGCACTCTCACTCTCGGCCCCCCCTTTTACCTTTGATTTTCTTTGGAGCACTTTTCACCTTCACGTCATAGATACAGTCACTTCTCATTTGTTTAGTCTTCCCAACCCAACAGAAAATAAGCTCCTGGAGGGCCCTGGCTGCTCTGTTTACTGTTTAATTCCCAGCTAAATATGTTGATGGATGAATGAATGAGTGAATTTATTGAACAGCCCCAGTGCTTTGTCCTTAGCATATAGCACCGAAATGAAATGCAGGGTTCTTGCTTGATGAGAGAGGGCACGAGAAATAGGGGCGATCAGATGCCTCAGAGGCCCTTATTGTCACTGAAACCTCTGCTACCTGTGTCCTACCCCGGCCACACACGCCATCACTCTACCCTCTCCTACCCCTACACTCGTTTTATGCCACTTGCTCTGCTGGAATTTCCTTGACCTCATCTCTGCTTGTTAATGAAACCTTACATGCTATTTAAGGCCCAAATACCACCTCTTCTATAGGATCCTTTTCGGATCTCTTGGTTGAAAACCTTATACCTGGCCTCTATTCCTCCATCGGAGGTTTTCCTTTTGTTATAGTATTTATGACGGCATATTTCCTATCAGAACTCCTCACGAATGGGCGTGACTCCTCACAATATATTGAACCTGTGGAGGGCAGGACCTAATTTCAGCCGGGGTGGCACGAGGGTGGGGATGTAGTTGAAATTTTACAGACTTTGTAATGAGAAACCCGGGGGTTAGAATCCTGACTCTAATACTTCAGACTGTGGGCTTGGGAAAGTTATTCAATGTCTTTAAGTCCCAAGGTGCTCATCTGTGAAATGGGATAGCGTGACCTCCTGGCGGAGTTAACCTTTATTAACATCTACTCTGTGCTGGGTGCTTTGACTGCTATCAAGAGAGCAGACACAGATCCAAGCCCAGGGTAGATGCTCAACATTACCAGTCATGGCACCTGTATATGATCCTGAGTCTCCAGTACAGTGGGTGCTGATATGGGCCTGTTTATAGAATGGGAGTCATAGCATCTGTCATAATATGACAACATGTAGGTAACATGTAGGCTGTCGTTCTTGCCCAACAAAATATCCATGTCTATTAAAACTCACTGCATAGAAACTTTTGTTTTCATTGTTAGCGTTCTGTGGATTAGTGTGATTTTCTAAGTCAACAGAGATATATATTCTACCTTCTTCCAGGAACCACTCATCTCTCCTTGCTCAAATGTAGATTTTATCATAGGTCTCAATTGCAAAGAAGGTTCACACAGGGCCATATACACCCACTGCGTTGTTCAGACAATGTGTCAACATGAAAACCAGGAGCTAAAAGATAGAAGTCAGGTGCACTTGGTCTCTGAGGTCATGATCTGTTAAAAAAAATTGGGTTAGAGCAGGGTTTAACTTTTGCATCATTGCCAAGTGGGCCCGGTATTTTTGTTTGTTGGGAGCTGTGCTGTGCATTTGTGGGATGTTTGGCAGCATCCCTAGCTCTACCCACTTGATGTGAGTGGCACCCCCTCAGTCATGACAATGGCAGATGTCCTTTGGGGGACAAAATGGCCACCAGTCGGGAAGCACTGGCTGAGATCTTTCAAATGTCAGCTAATTCTAGGGCTGCAGGCTGAGGGCGCGTTGTCTTGTGCGCACACACACTCACGGGGGTGCTGCTCCACGCTTAGCTTCGTTCCACTTTGGAGAGCAGCAGTGTTCGGAATCGTGTTTCCCTGCACACGTCCAGTAGCCAGGCGTTCTCGCCAGGCTCCCACCCTGCCCCCACTGACAGCAGAAGCCATTTGGAAGGTCTTTATGGGTGACACGCTGCGATTTCAGTGTGGGTTGCTCCCCACCGGGATCTCCGAACAGTCGCCCCCACTCCTGCTTGCACTCAGGTGGGGCTGGCAGGCTGTGTTGGCAGCTGCAGCTGTTACAGTTCTGCACTCAACACGCGTGGCTTTGTTTGAGGCTCTGAACAGAGCTTCAGGCCTCGGCTCCGACAGCCCTCTCCTCTGCCCACGGGCCTTTCTCCTTGGCCTCTGGCAGCTGGGGCTCGCGGTGCCAAGCAGATTTCCGTAGCTCCTCATAATAAAACAATGCAGTTGGGCAACAGAGGGAAACATCCAATCAAGTAGGAAATCTCCGTCTCTTTTTGATTCCCCTTTAGTTTTTTAGCTCTACTCTCTTCCCATTTTCAGTTGGAAGAGTAGACACATAAGATATCATATCTACTCACGTTGGTACATAATTTTACACTTGGCAAAATGTTTGTGTCCTCGCCACATTTTTAAAAGATAGAAATAAAAAATCTGAGATCTAGAGAGAGGACGTGACTGTCTGAAGTCACGCCGCTTGCCATGTGCAGAAACAGTCTTTTAAAGACTCTGCAGATAAAGGCTCACAGCCCAGTGAGCCAGAGAGATACAGAAACAGTTAAGTATAATGAAAGCTAATAATCACGAACATCGAGTTATATGAAGTGAGCGACTAGAGCAGAAAGGACCAGCACTTCTGGAAATGAGTAGGAAAAGGAAATGACCTGTGAGGGCCTGACTCAGGCGGCTGCTGAAAGCTAAACAGGACTTGGCTGGGCGGTGGGGACAATATGAGCGAGGACACTCCTGGCAGGGAATACGTGGACATCGCCAGGACCAGCATTCATCCTCAGCACCCCCTCACCATCATGGAGCACTTGCTGAGTGCCAGGCACTGGGGGGAACGCGGCCCATAAATGGTGTCGTCGCATTTTCATACCAGGTGCTGTTGTTAATCACATTTTACAGACAAGGAAACTGAGACTCAGAGAGGTTAAATGACTTGTCTGGAATCATTCTGTTTATAACTGATGAGGCCTGGATTCAAAGCTGCCTTTGATACGAACTGAGATGAGCTGTTCTTGAAAAAGTGGGCAGTTCTAGGCTAGTAATTAGAATGATGATGAAATGATGAAAGCAAAATTTATAGATTTTCAAAAGCCTCTCTTCTCTTCTCTCCTCCCTACAAGGAGCCTCTTCCTGAGCTCCCCCTTGGTCCTAAGCATTTCTTGAACATGGCTCCACTGTGCTATGCTACCATCCCCCGAAAAAAGAGGTGGCTAAGGCCCCACCGAGTTTCTTGGCCTTTAGTTTCCCTTCTGAACATCAGGGAACCTTGAGGCTCAGAATCACTAGCAGGTGAATCCTCAGGTGACGTTTCCTTGGGGTGAGGGGGACACCCCTCTGAGCACTGTAGACGTGACTCTAATGAGCGCCAGGGACTCTTCATCGGTAAGGAATCCAACCAGAGGGCCATGCTCATAATCCATCCCGAGACCGTGTGCATTCGTGTGATTATGCAAAAGCAAAGTGCGTCTGCAGCAGGTCCGCGTGAGAGGAGGAGAGAGAGGAATTCTCATTTCCTGGGGCCCTGTTGTGAGAGGCAGGCTGTTTGTGGAGACAGTAGGTGGGGCAGACTCTTGAGTTCTGTCTCCGCATCCCTGAGGCTGTCTCTGCATTTCTTCATTTCATACATTCTTTCAACACATACGCCTTCAACGCCTTCGATGTGCCAGGCGCCGAGGTATAGGCACGTCAGCGCACCCTGTGTTCTGCAGAGGAGGAAACCGCACCCCTAGGAAGCTGAGCAGTTCGCACGTTCATCCTGCAGGTGAACAGACCTCCGCAGGCGCCGCGCTCTTAACCAGACGCGGAACTGAATTTTGTAAACCTGAAAACGCTCTACTGATGTAAGGCCGTATTGAGATGTGTTAATACCATTCTTTCCCTTTGTCTCTCCTTTCCTTTTATTTTCTGTCCGTCTCTGCCCCCTCCCCCTCGCCCTTTCTCCGCAGGACTCCACAGAATGGAGCAAGAATGAGAGGAAAAAGGCCTGCAGAAAAGCATGAACTGGAGGTTTGTTGAGCTCCTCTACTTCCTGTTTGTATGGGGCCGTATCTCAGTGCAGCCCTCCCGCCAGGAACCAGCCGGGACAGACCAACATGTCTCCAAGGAATTTGATTGGCTCATTTCAGACAGGGGGCCTTTCCACCACTCCAGGAGCTACCTATCCTTTGTGGAAAGACACCGTCAAGGATTTACAACCAGATATAAAATATACAGGTAAGGTCCGGGCTCCGCTGGCCCTTGCTTTTCATTCCTAGAGGGCTCTCGGGGGTCAGTCCTTGGCATGGGCCTTGCTGTAAGGCAGGGGCGTCTGGGCCAAGGGATCGCGCCCCTGCAGTAGGCTGTCGCTCACTTTTGCACCTTTTTTTTAAAACTTTGCACGAGAGATTAGCAATGACAAGGGGAAGAACAAATAGCTAATACTTATTGAGTACTTACTGTGTGCTGGGCATGGTACTGGTAGTTTGTATATACTATCACATTTAAACTTTTAAACCATCAGAGATAGGCTCTATCATTTTTCTCCACTTTATAGATGAGGGGACTGAGCTTCAGCGAGGTGAAATAACTTGTGTAAAGTCACATTGTAAATGGTCAAATATTTTTAGTCAACCGCATCAGGTGTTGGTAGTGTTGTTTTGCAAATGCGGCCAGTGCATCCAATAACCTACCCAAACACATGCATGGGTTTAGAAATAACTAAGCACACTCAGTGAACAGCCTTTTCCTGAGCAGATCTGAACTGGTTCTTGGCCCCTTGGAATCCTAATCATACAAAAAGGACTTACCCAAAGTTCTCTTTTCCTTAAAACCATCTTAGTGTCTCCTCATTCCACTTGACCACCCTCTCTTTGGTGTTTCTACAGCTTTCTGCACTTGTATTTAGTTTTAAACCATTTGGAATCAGAGTACATTCTTGTGTTTCTTTCTTACCCAACTAGAAACTCTTGGAGGGCAAAGACATTATATATATATATTTCTTTCAAAAGAGAAGACTATCAGAATTTCAAAAATATAGTTGATTCAAAAGTCTAAACTATTCCTTAGAAGAACTAGTTCTCAATCACCCAAGAACAACAGCTATCTACTTAATTTCAAATTTGGATCCTTAAAATAGTATCGGGCACAATACAACCATTTCTATCAGTGGATATGCTTAAACTAAATATGGGTGCTCACTGATTACGCAACAGAAAGCTCCAGTATCTGAAGTCTCTGGTACTGGGAAAGACATTGGCTTGAGACGTTGGATTTAGGGGAAGAGGAGTAGTGGTAAAGGCCCAGATGTTTGTGATTTGTCAGGTAATAATAGCCTCTTGGTTTTATCTGTGGTCGTCTCTTCCATTTGAGCCTCCTAAGGGTACTTTAAAGTTGGGATAACCAAGGCTCATATTTCCATTTTAAAGATCAAGAGATGATTGACCTGAATACATTTATGTAGCTGAGAAAAGGTGGAGCCTGAACTGGAAACAAAATCTGCTAAGTCCATCCATATGAATAAATGTGCTAGAACTGAAGGCATCCGTTCATTGTTTACAAATGTTTCTTAGCAGCTCTCGTATGCCTGAACTGACTCTAGACACTAGGGATAAGTTGGTCTGAATATAAGTAGTCCTGATATGACAAGGTGATAGAGGGTCATAAGGGAGCTATCATGCTTGTTTGATGATTAATCTGTGTTTGTGATTGCTGCTGTTGAAATAGAGACTTAAATGGGTATCCTCAGTAGAACCACAGCTCCAGCGTATTCCACATTAGCAGCCTTTTACTGGGCGCTTACGATGTGTCATGAAGGCCGGCCATTCAGTTCTCACAACATCCTCTGTGAGATGAACAGAGATTTTTCAACCATTTTCATCTCATGGTACACATACACTAATTACTAAAATTCTGTGCCACACCCCAGAAATATATTTTTTGGCGATCTGACAAAAATAGGTATAGTTTTGATTCATTCACACTGGACTGCTGGTTTTGTGTTGGCTGTTGTCATTTTTTAATTTCACAATCTAAGGGAAAAGAGGTCAGTGCCCCTGACTAATAGTAAGGTTCTGCATGTTTTACAAATTCTTGCGGCACACCAATTGAAAATCATTGGTCTATCCCACCCATCCGGTGAGGAGTAGAACTAGGGTCTAAACACAGATCTACCCAAAGCCCTTTTTTTACCCACTCTGCTGCATAGCCCTCCGGCATGGTGTCTAAATGTGGAGGGTTTCAGAGCTCTGAAAGAGCTCTTCCAAACTTACTTTCTCACAACCATTTTGTCAACATTTTGGGGGTAGTTTTAGAGATGCTGAGAAATGAAAGTTTGCTAATGAGGTTGTGGGTCAGAACATCTGGATACTAATGCCCACTCTCCAGGCACTGGTCTAGTGACATTAAGCAAGTCCCCTCCTCTCCTGGATCCCACTTTGTTACCCATCAAAATATAGGCGTGAGTGATGTAGATCAGTGGTTTTCCACCAGTGCTCTTTGAAACCCTGAGAATCAATTAAAGAAGTCGTAGGGGCCAGTGTAGCGTAGGAAGACAGGCAAAGGGGAGGAAGCGGTGAGACAGGATCCCCGGCCTTCCCCAGCTCCTGCGAGAAGAGGTTTGTGGGCTGTACCTAGGCTTTTCTTTGCGTTCGCTGCTAAAACAAAGTGTGCAATCAGCCAACAAGCTGATCTCTAAGCTCCTTTCTAGCTCTCAAATTAAGTATAAGGTTTAACTAAGGTCACGTGGTTAATTAAATGATGGAGTTCAACCCAGAAGTCGGGCCCCTGGTCATCTAGTTATTTCTTCCTTCCTTTATTTAATCCTCAAATAATTACTAAGCACCACCTACAGGCCCAGTGCTGTTTGGGGCAGATGATACAATGCTGACTAAAACAAACATGGTCCCTCTCTCCTAGGAGACTAACATTAATTAAACACACACGCACAGGGCTACAAAGAAGAAAGAGCAGGATAGATAGAACTGGGACAACCTTATTACCATCAGCACTTATCTGGAACCTATTGTGTGCAGAGATTTGGTGGGGCTTCTGTCATCACCCGCACATGGACATGCACATAAGTACCCAGGGACATATGTGCCTCTGCAGACCGGGTGCAGACCAGAGCAAAAACCAACTAGGACATGCTCCGCAGGCTGGTTGTCCATGGACTCTTCCTTCCCATTGCATGCTGCTTGTTGACACACTAACACGTGTCCACCAGTGATTTCCTGTGCTTCCTATTCCTGTGCACTAACATGGATGTCACACATTAGAAACTGGACATTTGCATCACAAAAGGCAGGCTTTCCTACTGGAATGAGCTCTGTTGTCATATGCTAGAGAGACAGCCTCATTGAAAATGTTTTAGACCTCAGGCTCTGGCCAGTTTCCCCCACCCTGGATCCAGGCTAGAGCCCTGAGTGATATAGAAGCTTCGGGAATAAACTGGAAGTCTCTTCTCCTCAGTTAAGTGGGTTAAGGCTGCCTTCCCCTCAGGCGTCTGCACGCAGAGGCTGGTTTCAGCTCACAGAGTCCTGCTGGGGAGATGGTGCTGCTGCCACGAGGAGAATCTTTCAGAGGAAATCCCAGCAGAAGCTCCCTCTCAGGTTGCTCCACAGGCGGAGTAGTAATATGTGCACAGCAGTGATTTGGGCGCGTGAGGCACACACTCTGTCACTCACAAGCCTGAGCTGGCACATGGAGGCTGGACGAGCTCTCTGCTGGCTTCTGCCGGGGCTCAGGGAACCTGGTGCTGGCTCAGGTCGCCCACTTCCCTGAAACATGATTTTAGCCAAGTTAGGGAACTTGTTTGAGCCTCTGTTTCCTCATCTGTAAAATGGGAGTGTTAGTTTAGGTGGTTTCCAAGGGCCTTCCCATGTCTGAAATTCCATGATTCTGTGAAATATTGTCATCTAAGAACAGAGCATAGGGTAGCAGAGAGGACTTTGGACTTGGAGTTCAGAGACGCAGGTTTTGTTTAGTTTGGAGCCCCTTTCTAGCTTTGCCATCCTGGGCAAATTCATCTACACACCATTCACTCATTCATTCATCCATTGCTATAGAACTTAACACAAATCACACCCTTGAAGCTGTGCTACAATTGGAGATAAAGAGATGAGCAATCAAAAAAAAGCGTGCACACACACACACACGCACACACACATAGGTGCACACCCCACAAGCCCACAGTGGAGGATAGAGGAAAGAAAGATCCAGTAAGCAAACAGGCATCATTTTATGGGTGCAGAGGACACTGTTTTCTGTACAGGAAGAGAGAATGATGTCTCTCCTCCCTACTAGGTCATGTGATAACAATTTGTGTGAAAATGCTCTGTAAAACTGAAATTTTCTTATATCTGGAATTTTTTTCATAAGGTTCTAAATCATCATTCTAATAAAATCATTTATTTTTAACTTTCTGTTAAGCCCATACATATAACAGTCATTAAATGCAGCATTCTGCGAGGGAAATGCTGGTTTTGTCCATTTGGGGAATGAGAAAACAAAGAGCAAGAGGCTAAGCGTATTGTCCACGTCACACATCTGGGAAGTGGCCAAGCTGGGAATCCAAAGCAGGCCTTAGAGACTCCACAGTGTGAGTCCCTAACACTGTGTTCATGACTCTCTCTGCTTCTCAGTCACCTGGTTTATTAGCAAACGCCAAGAGACATCCTTTGACCATGGACGAGTCACAACCTCTCTGAGACTCAGTATTCTTATCTGTAAAATGAAGATAATATTAACTGTGTGGTTGTGGTGAGAAGTACCTTAGATGTCAAGTATATTGAGCTTGGAATTTTGTAGGAGCTGCATAAGCGCAAGTTCTTTCCTCTATGTAGGAGAGCTGATAGCATTGCTAGAAATTATTTTTTTCCTACTTGTGTTAATTTAAAAGTCAGTTTGGTCCAAAGGCATTTCCTGTGTTTCCACTGCCTTTTTCTTGTTTTATTTTTTGGTTTATTTGTCCTAACTTTGAGGTCATTAATAATTGCTGTAAATTTAGTAATTATTTCAGAGGTGGATTTAGTAGGAGAAACGAAACGTGGCACCCTCTGTAGGCTTTGGTTCTGGAGAGTCCAGGCAGAGGAGAGATACTGATGATGGCAGTCACTGTGCCATAAGAGGTGGCTTCATATCCAGTGGTTTTCCCTGTAGGTTGCAGAGCAAGGTTTGTGGCTTATGGTACACCTTTCTTTGAGCCTTAAATAAGTACCTGAAACTTGAGTGTAAATCAA